TTAAAAAACAAGGAACAAAGTAAGAAAGAACAAAAAACTAGGAAAATAAGAAGAAGAAAATTAAAAAACAAGAACAAGTAGAAAGAAGACAAAAACTAGGAAAATGAGAGAGAAAATTAAAAACAGAACAAGTAGAAAGAAACAAAAAACTGGAAAATGAGAACGCAGAACAAGTAGAAAGAAACAAGAAACTGGAAAATCAAAAGCAGAACAAGTAGAAAGAAACAAAAGAAAAGCGAAAAATGAGAAAGAAAATTAAAGTAAGACGAAGAAAAGAAATTCGAGAAGTAAGAGACAAGAATTTATAAGAGGAGTTAAAAGAAAGAGACATAATATTTAAAGAAAAATTAAAAAGAAAAAAAATTAATTGATGACAAGATTGACAAAGCTATTGGAGATGTACAATAGGATTACAACTATAATAATAAAGAAGCATACTGAAAGATGTCAACAAAATATATACTGCTGTAATAACAAAAATGAAGAACATGGAATGATTATAATTTCAATATTAATGAGGTAGAAAATAACATCGATGACAGAATAAAACATCTGAAAATGAACCGGTAAATGCAAAGATCAATCCAGCCACACCTCTTTCTGCATTCACCCAAGAATTCTAACTGAAGACATTTACTGTAAGATATAGACTAAGAAAAAAATATTTAAGCTATTCTGCTGTAGAATCTTCATCGATCACTCCAGCCATGACATTACCAAATCCAGTTCCAAAACTTAGTTGGCTAGTTCAATAATATTGCCGATTTGAGAAACCAATAAACCATGAAAAAGGAAAATACCATGGGAGGCATATTAGTCTCAATTCGAAATCATTTTGAAAGTGATTGGATGGAATAATGAAAAAGCTATTAATCTTGCTGCTCATTTAAAAGAACTAGCTTTGTTAATGTTAAGTGCCCTTCTAGCTGAGAGCCAAAACAACTACCAAATATTGATAGCTGCCTTGCCCATCAGGTTAAGAGTGACACACAAGAAAGGAAGTATCAAAAGCAGAGGAAAAAAAGAGGCCTTAGCCAAACTTGTAAAAAATTTAGAAAGATTCATCCAATACCTTACCCAGATGCTCAAAGCAAAATGATGGATTTTCTTTTGCCACGTGACCAGACCATAGATGTCATAACAGATGACAATTTACTAATTAGTCTGAATAAAAATAAGTTTACTTCTTTAAAGGAAACTCTCTAGTTGGCAATGAAACTCGAATCTGATGAATTAATTAATGGTACCATCTAGAAATTATGAGATCATCAGATTAAGTAGCAGTATACCCCCCTCGACAATAGCTGGAAGAGCTGTATGAATTTGTTAGATAGCTAGTTACACAAAATGGAGGAAATAAACCATAAGGCAATAGGTCTTTAAAATCAAAGGATATACTGCCAGGAGCTACAGAAAAAAAAGATTCTAGTGAAAATAAAAATAATTTCCAAAGGATGCTAGAAAAATGTTATAAATGTGGGAAAATGGATATTACAGCTAAGCTGATAAGAAACCAAAGAAACAATATCCTAAGGAATAGTTTTCGAGCCCATCAAGATCAAAAGAACAACAAAGAGCTAATCAGACTTGGAAAATAGCAATTAGCTGGACTTATGTTGCAAAGTTCTGCTGAGAATACACCATCTGCCCAAAATGAGATAAGAAGCTCATTTTTTTAAAGAAACCAGTCTATGGGTTTATTCATAGGAAGCCTTGCAGTATGTAAGCCAACACTGGTTTAACATCTACAGTTTTTCATTCCAGGTACTAAAAGGTGTGAACTGCTGCCAGAGATGAAGAAAGAGGACGGATTGATGCAAGAAGAAAGTTGGAAGTTACCCATTCTTTAGGATTATGCTAACATCACAGTTTGTGACCAGGAAATCCCTGTGCAGTACATGACAATTACCATAGCAGAGGTTGAACTTCTGATGACAAGGAGGGCATTCACTGTACCAACAAGAAGTGAAATACTCACACCAGGACTTATTAGAAACTGTGGTGTAGTAGAACCAACCAGTCTAGCATGTCATGAGGGATTACTCTCGTGGGTCTAAAGAATAAGATGTCGTCATTTGGACAGGAACACAATGAACCGTAAAATTATAGTCAAGTCTGGATGTGACATTGCAAAATGTGAAGGTAGTATCTCCACATCAAAGTAAATCAGAAATAGTCATTTTGAGATAAGATGTAGGAAGTCTGATGTCAAACCCTCACTTTGTTACCTCACTTACAGAAGCTGTATAACCAGAGCTCTGGAGCTGTTTCAGGGGCCCAAACTGAATTTCCCTACAAAAACAAAAGCACATACTGATTTTTATTCATGTTTACTGGTATTATACATAAGAGCAATACAGTAATAGGTAGCAGTCATTAAGTAACTAATCGTCAAGTCAAAATAACTTAAAAAATAAGTTTTATATTTTTAGCTTCAATTGTTCTTTATTTATTTTGAATTTTTTGGCTGGTGATTGGCAGGTCACTTGAAACTGCCTTGTGGTTATTATTAGACCTACAGGCCATCAGTTGGAAAACTTACCCATAAAGAATTGTAGTGAGTGTGTGGTATTCAGGCATACTATCTGTTTTCTACCTTCTTAGTTTTTACAAATGAATTTTCAAAATTTTTCATTTTGTCTGATTCTTTGAAATTTGCACATTAGCATGTGATTCAGAAAACCGTTTAGTTTCTTTTGTTCTAGTTATCTTTGTTCCTTTATTGTTCTGTAGTAGATAATATCTGCTCTGCCTGCAGTCATATTGCTGCAACGTTGCACATTATGCAAACAGGTAAATAAAAGCAATATTCTTCACTAGTGGAGTAGATGATGCCTAAAGATTACAACCTGTTGTAAGAGAACAAACCAGTCACATTGTAAGACACATTTTCATGGGACATTTACTGTTATTACAGAGTATAAGATTCCAATCAGTTCTACTTGGTCATCATAGTGAATAGATCAATGGAAAGAAATCTTATGGGGAGAAAATAGTTGACTGATTTACAGATCCCATAGAAGGATCTGATATAATAAAGATTATGTTTCACTTTACATAGTGTGTCTAGTCTGTTAATTTTCTTAATTTGAACTCAGTCATTTAATGAAACACAGATTTACTTCACAGTTTCCCTGGTCGATCCTTCTTTTATAAAGTGGAACTAGTTAATACTTGTGCAGAGACCAATTTCTCCTGAAACTACCAAAGAGTTGATAAGAAGGAGAAACTCTAGTGCCATGACCATAGAGTTTGTGGAGTTTTCTGTTTATATTGGCTAGGTGGTTATGGCGTTCGACTCGCAATCTGAGGGTCACAGGCTTCGATTCCCTGTCCCACCAAACATGCTTGCCCTTTCAGCCTAGGGGCATTATAATGTGACATTCAATCCCACTATTCATTGGTAAAAGGGTAGACCAGAGTTGGCTTTGGGTAGTGATGACTAGCTGCCTTCCCTCTAGTCTTACACTGCTAAATTAGGGAGGTCTTCGATACTGATCAACCTCTTACAGCTACAAACTAAGGATAATCAGCCAATATTTTGTGTAACTAGCCCTCTAAGTCAAACTGTACCCCTGAGAGTCAATCTAAGCTCAAGGGTAGTGAGGACAATTGATGGTTACCTAGGTGGAGTGGTGGATTGCAAGTCGAATACTCCTTGGGGATGTCTCCACAGGACTCTCTGGCTGTCACCAGTTAGAGTACAGTTGCTACAGCTCTGGTCAAGACCATCCATGACCAGGCAAGAATAGTTGGAAGTGGCATTGGAAGATAACATCTGACAGTCAGAATTGTTTTCAGTGACAGGTGAGACAGTGAGCACTCACAGATGAATGTGGTAAACCATGGGACAGTGAGCTTATTCAAGTTGTGAAATATCTTGCGATGATGACCATGGTTTGCAATGAAATCTAGGAACATACAGGGCTTTACGCTCAGTTGTCATGACCTACTTATCATATTACCACTTGAACCAGGAAACAGGTCTCGGAGGCATTAAGAATGTCTATTGCCCTGCATTTACCACATTGGTAGCACCTCACGCAGGCAATAACCAAGAACCCACAAGGGAGAGGCTTTGGTACACACCACAAGTCTCTGTAAGCAAGGCAAAGCAGATTTTGTCTCATAACAGTGAGGGTATGACGTCAATAGATTGAGTTTCTGATTGACATAGGAGCACCCAGGACACTAGAAGACATGGTGATGTATCAGACCCTTCTAGTGAGACCACAAATCTGGCCAGTGAATGCTGATTTCATTCTTGTGAATGGAAATAGACTGTATGCTAAAAGAGAGGTAAACCCCCAGATCTGTCCCGGATATGGTACTTACAGAATGAAGGTAGTTGTCTCTAACCATGAATCTGGTATTATAATCCTTGGGATGGACATGCTGTTGAAATCATCTGCTACTTTTTGCCTGTACAATAGTTGAACTGATGTACCATAGGAGAATCATCTGATATTGGTTAGATCCAACCCAGGAATAGTAGACTGCACAATAATGTGTAGCAAATAAATGACAGTACCTCTGCATACACAGGTGGTGTTCTGTGGTTTAGTGTGGCCAAAATCTAGTGTGTTATAACTGTGTAAAACTGTTATAGACGCTACAAATGAAATAAACTATTACCTCTCCAGAAAGCAGGCAGCATTAGCTCAGACAATCATCTAACTTACAAGAGATTAACTTTCAATGTTGTTAAGTGCAATTAGTTATCCAGCTGTATACTGGAATGATTATAGATGTAATAAGCAAAGTGAAAGTAACTGATGGTAATGCTAGGACTGCGTGCATTGTCCAGTGACCAGAAGCAAGTATGTGGCTACCAACACATCAGAAATCTTTGTTTGAGAATTGTGCAAACATTACATCCAATGGCATGAAAGCAAGTTAATGACTTGTTTGTTGAATATTCTGATGTATTTATGTGACCAGATTACAAATTAGGTCGAACAATATCATCTGAGCAAAACATAGATACAAATAACACACAAATAAAGCAACTATCATGCTGGTTTTCCTGGATCACTATGGATGTCACCAGCACTAAAAGTCAGAGTAGAGGTTGGCAAACATCTGGGTGCAAGTGACCATTGCTCAATTAGACTTGTCTTGCTGCATATGAAGATAAGGAATAATAAGTTGCCGTCATATTACCCCTGATTTTTGGTCAACTTCTCCAAGATAGCTGCCATATTGTCTGCTCTCACTAAAGTTGAGACATATTTTGGATGAAGTGAAGACTGTAACAAAGCATCTTGAGTCATACCAGCTCATCCAAAGAGGAGAAAGAGCTGAATCACTTATCTCATGTTCACAACACTCACAGTACATCTGAGAAAAAGCATAGATTCATCTGGGGTTTCTTATAATAGAGGTTTACTTGGTGTTTTCTATAAAGAGCAGTGCAAAATGTATTTCACTTGAATAGAATTAAAGTATTCGAGAGTGGGTGAAATGATCAGTAGTAAATGAACTTCACAGACAGTAGCTTGGATATGATGACAAATATGAACGTGGTTTGTCTCAACTCCCATTCCTTCCTACTGGAATTTGGCACTGTCTATGTGTGTTTCCATTATCTGGCAGGGATAACAGAGTAAAGAACAGCTTAAGGTAGTTGGTAACTTGGAAACCCATTGAAGTCTAGAGATTGGGAAATTCTCAGGTTATTAGAATACACGTCCTATAGGGCAATATAGTATTTGGGTACACTCAAAGCTCAAAGAGATGTCTTTGATCTATAAATTTCATGGTCATAACTGCAGATTTTGACACCTTTCACCTATGCACTTAGGTGAATTTTTATCAGTTAGAATTAACTTAACCTTTACATTGAATTTGAACTATCATTATTTTAAAGTTGAAATATAGGTAAAGGATTTTTTCATGTATTTGAATTTAATTCCTTGTATAATGGCTATGTTGTTCATGTGGCATATAATCATTAATAGAAATGAGGGAAATTAACTACTTAGTCATGTCGTGAGTCCAAAATTATTTGGTTTTAAAGTTAAGTTTAATTGTCAGCTTAGGGACAAACCTGAAACAGAGAAGGAAGGAGAAGTGTAGTATCCAGGCATGTCATGTGTTTTCTACCTTTTATTTCAATATGGGAATTTTTGAATTTTTTATTTGGTCTGTTTATATGAAATGTTTACATAAACATGTGATTCAGAAAACCATTCAATTATTTTCGTTCTAGTAACCTTTATTTCACTGTTGTTCCCCAGTAAATAATACCTGCTCCGCCCACAGAGAAATTGCTGCAATCTCACACATTGTGCAAACAGATCAAAGACAGCAATATTCTTCACTGAACGAGTAGACGATATCTAGAAATTATAGCTTTAACTATATTGTAAGTGAATGAACAATCTCGTGGTAATGCATGTCATTATGGGCAAATTCGACGTTTCCTGTTAATATGGACCATTGGATTCACATCCGTTGTACTTGGTCATCATAGTGAATAGGTAAATGGAATTCTGGAAATAAAACGTTTGACTGCTTTATATATATATCTTGTAAAAGGCGAGTATTCAGTGTTCATGCAAGTACACATTCTGTGTTTTTGCTTTGCAATATAATAAAGAATTAGTTTAATTTTGAATCACATATCCAGTAATTTAGTTACAGTAACATTTCTTGATCAGTCCTCCTGTTATAAAGTGGACCTATCTAATACTGCAAAAATTAAATTTTACCTGAGGATATCAAGTGTAGCTAAATTTTTGTTTCTGTTTATTTGTAATTAAGCACAAAGCTACACAATGGACTCTCTGTGTTCTGCCCACCAAGGGTATCGAAACCCGGTTTCTAGCGTTGTAAGTTCAAAGACATACCGCTGTGTCACTGGGGGGGGGGCAGTTTATTCTTTACTGTTGTATATTTGCTGACTTATTTTTTGAATTATTACATCTATAATCTAATAGTAGAAAATTACCTATAACAGTTATAACCGAAGATCAAAATGTTGTGCGATTTTACAGTATACAAAGATCACAAAACGTTAACTCCGTTTCTCGAGAATCTACAAGATGGAAAAAATGAAGGACTTTTAAAAGATCATATCTACATGGACAATTTAATGTTCGGCATGGGTTGCTGCAGTTTGCAAGTTACACTACAGGCTTGTAACATTCGAGAAGCCAGAATTCTCTTTGACCAATTAGCTGTTTTATCTCCCATTATGGTGAGTAAGATAATTATTTTTATTGGTGTGCAGCATTTTCTTTATCAACACTAATTACCCTGAATGATATTTTTGCTCTGTTTTATTTATCACGCAGAAAATAAACCCAAACATAGGCATGCAGCACGCAAAGTATGCAGTTGAAATAATACATTGCTCTTACCGAAAACCTGTATAAGGCCAATAAAGAAAAATGTAATCACTTTTAGTCTGACTGTGATGAAATAAAATATATTCTTGCTTGCACTCTTATTTTGATTCGATACTTACTCTAACAATATGAAAAGTTTAGTACTAATGCTCCCGGCCCGGCATGGCCAGGTAGTTAGTGTACTCGACTCGCAATTTCCGGGTCGCGGGTTCGAATCCCCATCACACCAAACATACTCGCCCTTTCAGCCGTGGGGGCGTTATAAAGTGACGGTCAATCCCACTATTCGTTGGTAAAAGAGTAGCCCAAGAGTTGGCGGTT